CCCCCCCCCGCTTCTAGTAGATGTACATACACCTCCATCAGGGAAAGATATTGTTGATCTAAACCATGAAAACTTCTAATAAAACACTCTTGACATCAGGAATGGTACCAACCATCTATCAATCCAGTCATCAGTCTAATGAAAACGAAGGTGGCTTGATTGTTTATCTTCTGAGAAGGAAAATGACTAGATTATCGTCTGAGAAGGAAAGTGACTAGAATAGCTACTGAGAAAGAAGATGGCTGAATTATCTACTGAAACTGAAGGTGATTTGATTATCTACTGGAAACGAAGATGCCCGGAATATCTACCGAGAACGAAGATGGCTGGATTATCTACTGAGAACGAAGATGGCTGGATTATCTACCGTGAACGAAGATGGCTGGATTATCAACCGAGAACGAAGGTGAATGGATTGTCTACTGAGAACGAAGATGGCTGGATTATCTTCAGAGAACGAAGATGGCTGGATTATCTATCGAGAACAAAGATGACCGGATTATCTACTGAGAACGAAGATGGCTGGATTATCTACTGAGAATAAAGGTGACAGTATTATCTACTAAGAACGAAGATGGCTGGATTATATACTGAGAACGATGATGGCTGGATTATCTACTGAGAACGCAGGTAACTGGATTATCTATTGAGAACGAAGGTGACTGGGTTATCTACTGAGAACGATGATTGCTGTATTACCTGCGAAGAAGGAAGGTGACAACATTGTCTACTGAGAACGAAGATAGCTGGATTATCTACTGAGAAGGAAGATGGCTGGATTATCAACCGAGAACGAAGGTGACTGGATTGTCTACTGAGAACGAAGATGGCTGGATTATCTATCGAGAACGAAGATGACCGGATTATCTACTGAGAGCAAAGATGGCTGGATTATCTACTGAGAATAAAGGTGACAGTATTATCTACTAAGAACGAAGATGGCTGGATTATATACTGAGAACGATGATGGCTGGATTATCTACTGAGAACGCAGGTAACTGGAGTATCTATTGAGAACGAAGGTGACTGGGTTATCTACTAAGAACGATGATTGCTGTATTACCTGCGAAGAAGGAAGGTGACAATATTATCTACTGAGAACGAAGATAGCTGGATTATCTACTGAGAACGAAGATGGCTAGATTACCTACTAAGAACGAAGGTGACTGGATTATCTACTGATAACGAAGATGGCTGGATTATCTACCGAGAACTAAGATGAGTGGATTATCTACTGAGGACGGTGGTGACTGGATTACCTACTGAGAACGAAGATGAACGGATTACCTACTGAGAAAGAAGATTGAACGAATTACCTACTGAGAACGAAGATGAACGGATTACCTACTGAGAACGAAGGAGACAGGATTATCTACTGAGAACGAAACTGACAGGGTTTTCTCAGACAGAGATATCCCACGTCATATCCCGTGTTAGATTTTTCTATCTCGTCCGATCTGTCTTGTACCTTTACGTGACATTTCTCGGAATGTTTACACTACGATGTATTCATCCGCGCGTTAAACTGCTTGAAATTGACAATTTGCATTATAATTGTTCTGTTTTGTCGTTATTGTATAGTTTTGATGTTGTTAGATATTTGATGTTGTAGATAAAATATAATCTACACTGTGAAATACGTTGTAATCTATGTAAGGAATGACTACGTTTTTACGCGGAAACATTCAAACGTAGCTTAGGTAGTGAAGAGGTCATCATCATTTGAGACCTAAGGCGGGTTACTTGTAGTTTTTAGCAAAATTAAATAGTTGTTTTCTAAATAAAAGGTGAGAGTAAAAAAACTGAGCAAGATCGGGTTATCTCAATCTCGGGCTAAGTTTCTGTAACATCACAGCCTCGGCTTACGCCTCGGTTGGGATTTTGTTACAGAATCTTACCCTCGACTGAGATAACCCGATCTCGCTCGGTTACATGTCATAGAATTTATTAATCTACCGAGAAAGAAGATGACTGGATTGTCTACTGAGAACAAAGAAGGCTGGATTATCTACTAAGAACGAAGATGGCTGGATTATCTACAGAGAACGAAAATGGCTGAATTATCTACAGAGAACGAAGATGGCTGGATTATCTACCGAGAACGAAGGTGATTGGATTATCTACAGAAAACGAAGATGGCTGGATTATCTTCTAAGAACAAATGTGACTGGTGTATCTACTGAAAACGAAGATGGCTGGATTATCTTCTAAGAACGAAGATGATAGGATTATTTACCGAGAACAAGGATGACCGGATTATCTACTGAGAACGAAGATGGCTGGATTATCTACTGAGAACGAAGATGGCTCGATTATCTACCGAGAACGAAGGTGATTGGATTATCTACAGAAAACGAAGATGGCTGGATTATCTTCTAAGAACAAATGTGACTGGAGTATCTACTGAAAACGAAGATGGCTGGATTATCTTCTAAGAACGAAGGTGACTGGATTATTTACCGAGAACGAAGATGACACTCACACCATCAATTCAGCATGTAGTCACAACATCAATGTACATGTAGTCACAACATCAATGTACATGTAGTCACAACGATTTACATGTAGTCACAACATCAATGTACTTGAACAGTTACACCAACAATTTACATGTAGTCACAACATCAATTTACATGTAGTCACAACATCAATGTACATGTAGTCACAACATCAATTTACATGTAGTCACAACATCAATTTATATGTACAGTCACAACATCAATTTACATGTAGTCACAACATCAATGTACATGTACAGTCACAACATCAATGTACATGTACAGTCACAACATCAATTTACATGTAGTCACAACATCAATTTACTTGTACAGTCACAACATCAATTTACATGTACAGTCACAACATCAATTTACATGTAGTCACAACATCAATTTACATGTAGTCACAACATCAATTTACTTGAACAGTTACACCAACAATTTACATGTAGTCACAACATCAATTTACTTGAACAGTTATACCAACAATTTACATGTCGATGGGATCCCTGAGTTCCTTTTTTAGATAGATTACAGATGTCCACGTAAATCTCCAGGATCTGGACCGTTGAATTTTAAAGCAATCTGTAACCACTTGCGCGTATAGCGTTGTTTATCATCGCATAAAATCATCTGACCACCGGTCAACCCGTTTTAACCAATGGTAAACAGGACTGATAAATACCGGAAGGTCAACCATCGACACCGCCTTTGTTGATCAAAACAGTTATTAAGGTTTAGTGTTGCGGTTTTCTATCTTTGCACCATTTGTGACGTCACCCAATATCATTTATTACGTCAATAATTTAGGTATCCCAAACAATCTTAGATTTAAGGATATATACTTCTTTAATTACCGTGTCATCCTCCGAAACAGTTCCTTATTTTGAAAACACGTAAATTAGATAATGTTCAATGTGTATTATATTTGTCCATCGGAGACACGTCCAGCATAATATACATACTACATACATAAAATAATAGTAGATATATATATTTTGAAGGATTAATAATATTTTCTAAAATTTCCCTCGAGGGTGGGTTCTATTTTAAAAGCAATTTTGTAAGATACAAAAGATTGTCCATAATATTGGTAATGGAAAACAGTTCTAGGAACTTGAATTTGTATTCTTCTGTGTTTTGGAAGGACGGAATGGAGCCTTATAACACGCTCAAGAATTGTCTGCATGCCATGTTTAACCGGTTCAGACAGCTAATAACTCCGGCATAAGGAGAAGTAAATATATCATCGGAGAGGGATGGGACAAGGTATCGCTCGGTATATACCGCCACGGGAAGTGTGGGGTCGTGTGTTATCGAGTATTGATGCACACTGCATGTATATAGTCTGTATGGGGTTTCTAGAACTTGAACAAAGGGGAAGCACTCTGACCTGTGAACTAATACACACTCAAAGCAAGCCACGTACAATGTAGCTCGAACACACCACAGGGACGTGAACATGTGTTACAGCTATATTTGGACAACTAATGTGTTTAGAGTATCGACTTTCGGTAAAAATGCCCCCCATATGATCATTGGGGGTATATGAGCATTGGGGGTGGCATGTTTACCGAAAGTCGATCTAACACCCCCCCACCCCCCACCCCACCCCAACGCGTGTAAAATTACTCTAAACACCTTAGTTTATGTCCAAATATAGCTGTAACAAATTATCAGGTCCCTGTGGTGTAACACACAATTAATTAAACAAAGTTTTCATTGAAACACTCCATGTCAGCATTTGGTATGAGAATAGAGACTGAAAGTTAACCGTGGCAAATACGGGACAATAGGAGGTAGGTGGTTGGGTGGGTTCCTCGAGACAGGTAACTTTAAATAAAAAGATCGAAAAATGTCATTAAATAACAACACGAACAAAAGCAGAGATATCTGTGAACTACGAACTGAAAGTAGAAAAAAAAATCTGATGTCACGTGGAACATACAGCTTCATTGATGATATTATATCGAACAAGCCCCGCGTCGCGAGAACGGATATAGTGACATAGATGGGATCGAGTTCTAATTTCCTCTTCCCGGGGAGGCGAGGCGAGGCTCTAAATGGGGGAAATGGGAGAAGGTGGAAAATACAGGGTCAAAAAGCAAAGAATATTTGCAGACTTGGCCTGGGCGTCCTAAAGTAAACGAAATAAGAATCCTCCAGTGGCTAATAGGATACAAAGGGACCTACGAATGTGTTACAGCGATATGTGGACCCAATTAAACTAAGTTGTTCCGAGTAATATTACATGTTTTAGGGGTTTAGATCGTCTTTCGGTAAAAATGCCATCCCCAATGATTATGTAGTGGGGATGGCAATTTTACCAAATGTCGATCTACACCCCTAAAAAAAGTATTATTACTCTGAACACCTTAGTTAAGGTCTAAATATGTAACAAATTATCGGGTCCCTGTTGTAGGATAGTCATAGGGAGTAGTATAACGATATCGCACTATTATTAACGGTAAAGAAATGATAAATAAATAACTTACAGGCTTTCCTGAAGACATGTTTCCTTACGTGGTCGGTTATACCACAGTAATCCAAACCATCGCACAGGCAGTGTCTCTAAAGTATCAAGACCTTATATCAATACCGTGTCTATATACCTGAAAGAGGGGCCGTTTGTTTGGGTTTGGGCCGGGACTAACAATGGCACTATTCAGACTAAGCACTTCATTACACGACACCCCGAATTGTCTTCCATACATGTCTCCTACTAAGCTTGAGTCGCTTTAGTAGAAATGTTTCGACATTATTAGGTGTAAATTACGTCAAAGTATACTTACAAATGTACTTAATTAATGACTTTTATCTTTCCATTATTGCAAACCCATGTGCTGAAATCCAAATTTATAGAATGTAAGCAATAGTATTGAATGACTTCCTGTATCACTAAGATAACGATCATGCTAGCAATACTTTCTCCAGTGAAATGGTATTCACTTATATTTAAATGGAAAGCGTAATGAATGGCCTCACTGTAGCATGGCGGACGTCCAATATAGCGACCCGTTGTATAGATACTCTCAATAGCTCATGGCCGATCTTATAGTTTATTTGAAGAACTTTATAATGAACATCGTGACATTTTATTCTCGATCGAGAGTTCTCATTGTAACGGAAAACATCTCTAGGTAGATATTGCGTGGTGTTTTCTCGTGTACATAATACAATTGGTTTACTAGATAATCTCCCTATCCAAGCTCTAGCCTTACCTGGACAATTTGTTCATAGATCTAAATAAAAACATTGTAATATTTCCTGTAATAAATATACTAGTAGCTAAATGTATCTTGCCAAAACAACTAACGATCGGTATATTATTTAGTCCATAAAACCCTTTCTTATACCAGAAGTTTATTTAAATCAATGCAATCTACCGGAAACCTACTCTTCAGCACATGAAATTGGCATTTGACAGATATACACACACATTTCAAGTCACGTTTCGCATTAAGTTCGGCGGAATATCTGACCGTGAGCTTGACAGCTTTTAAGAAGATCTCGCGGTAAGATTGAAACTATTTCGTTTGCCTGCTAGAAACCATAAATTACATTAATACAAAATCAAATACGGGTAACAGAAACCGGTACTGCAGCTCGTTTGTTTTTGGAAGAGTGTTGGAAAATAATACCATGGTCTATTGTCCAAAAATGTGTGCTTATTAACCAATGAAAAGTGTCGTTACATCTCAAACATGACAAAATAAAGAATGGCTTTCTGTTTTGGTCAGCTTACGAGGGGATATTAGTTGAGCACGTGTAGATTCATCGTATATGGCGAGTTATTTCCTCATTTCCTGGACAAAACAGAGTGGCGGAACCCGACTAGGTCGATCGTCGGCGACCAGGTATATAATTTTTCATGATTTCAACTAGGTGAATAGTATCTATAGTGCATCATTATAAACCACTATTTAACTTGATAATCTAAAAAGCATTTGTACTCCTTCTATTATTATTAATATCAATTTTAAATTTTAATAATAATGGGATACTTGGAGATGTTCCCATTGTAGGATGTCATACACAGGTTATTGATATTTAACTATTATGAAACCACATGTCCATCATCCTGAAATACAAAAAAAAATCCTTGATAATGTTTTATAGATGGAACACAAAAGTAATGTCTTTTTATGAGTATTTTAGATGAATGTTTTTCACGATGAAATTATATGTATCATGTGTTTTAATAGTATTTCGTATAGGTCAGCATATGGCCGGATATTAATTCCTGTTAATGGTTTTTATATTGTATTTGCTTTACTGTGAATTAATATGTGACACGTAATTAAAAGAATTTTATTAATATTGTCATAATTGTAGCTCAATTAGGCCCGGGTCCGAACCCCGGTCTGGCCGTGCATTTGTTCATCTCCATTTACATTTAGAGTATTTTTCTGAAAATGGTTCACAACGATTTTATTCATAAGTATGATCAGTCGATACAAATGTTCATCAACGTGTACTCGTCTCAATAGATGTACATGTAGTTTAGAATAACTCTTCAGAGCTTATGTTTCATGTTATATATATATACGACAAAAATAAAAGTTTTTTGTAACAGCATGAAATTATTAATGACGTCACAGAATTGTGTCTCGTTCGTTGAAAAAATTGCATAGTTCTGCCCGTATGTTGTCGACGTCATGGCAACTTATCACATCCTCTAGTCAGATTATGAGAAGATAACTCTAGTTGCGGGAACAATATTTATTGAGTGAATGTCAGTGTAAACTGAAAATATTAAGGTTCATTTTGATATTTCGAAACCCAATACAATCGAGGCAGGTTAGTGTATTTTTGATTAATCGGTACTCGGAATGTTCCAATAGGGAAACATACGTAGCCAGTCTTTTCAGCGCTTAAAGTTCTGTCCATCAGTCCATCAAGTGTAAGTGTTTAACTCAGGTGGGATTATGTAATTGATTTATTACATCAACAGACAGCTTATATATATATATATATAAATATTAAATTAAAATCAGAGATCAAAAATAGTACCATTTCAATAACATCTAGGTAATGATAAAGTAATTATGTATAAAAAATATGGCACATAATAGTCACTTCACAAAGTGTAAATCAGCTACGTATATATACCTTGCCTAAGCTAGTTTGCAGGATGTCGATCTGATATACTTGATATGTGTTTTCAACCTCGCTACATTTGTAGCAGTCCTGTGTAAATCAATACATCGGCTAGGGAATGTCACTCTCATGATATGTAAAAATATTTTAATAGAAAAAATACTTATATATTCAACTTCATCAAATAATCAATCACCAAATTCTGTATATGCCAAATTTATATAATAACTGTTGCAATCATTGATTCATATCTAGGTTTGCCCACCATACATGCCCTGAAAACACCTAACTGTAAGATAGCGGAGATGTAATCTTTACCTATCTTAAATAAGTTTATGTGATTCCACGTATGTATAAAGAAAACATGTCTTACCCTACAGGCTTGGCTCAGAGGCAGACATATTCAATTCAGTTGATTCCAAAAGCAGTAAAGCTAATAGAAGACATAACATACATGTGTTAAACATAGTAAAATTAATTATACACAAGATAACGGAGGCTGAACAATGTGAAAACAATTTCACTACTTGTCATAGATTGTGCAATTAATAAATGTACTATACAAGATAACACAGTAATATTACTATCAGCCGTCACGCCTGGCAGTGGCAGTACACACAAATTTACCAAGATTATTTAGTTGTTATACAAGCAGAAGAGCGACGCCAGAAATATGGCTTAATATATTTTGATCTTATATCAGAATAACAATTACAGGAAAGAATAAAATGATATTCGTCTTCTACACACCCGCTATTACATTTGGCATGATAACACGTCCGATATGCTTTCCCTGTTAATTTCATCTCATCAAAAGTCTTTTATTATTAGAACGTGTATTATTATCAGTTAATATTCCCTTACAAAACGTTATCAATTCTGTTGTTATGTAAATGTCTTCGTGTAAATTACACAGAAATCAAATTGATCCTCGCTTCATTTGTACATCAACAGAAAATCCGCTTTTGGTTGCAGTGAATTGAAAACACCGCTCTGATTGGTTAATATAATGTATGTGATTGTACAACGGTTACTATAGAATATAAAAATGAAAAATTACAACAAAATCATAATGCATGTAAAAGATGTATCACACCGAAATTTTGTGATAAATTAGTGCTGAAATTGATAGTGTAAATAATTGCTTATTCATGAAAATCTTTAATCTTACCATCTATTATTAAATTTATATTTCGAATTGTCCATATCTAACAACTCAAGTGCGAATTAATGCAACACACGTTTATATGACATTTAGACAGAATTTGGCTATATACATGTGGCATTATCCTTAATTGTAATGACTATATATCCTTTGTGACATTTGAGATAAGACTCATGTGTGAAGTTTTTATATCCCTAAGTACGTACTCTCTGTAAACTTACTTTCATAACTCATTACTTTTGTCGGCTTGTTCTCGTTTCCCCCACTTTTTAAAATAAAATGGGGGGAATAATGTTGTTAGAAGGATTATAGTCTGTTTCTAAGTAGTATGGGCAGTATTTACCTGTGTTTTTACCTGTTTTACCTGTGTTGTTACCTGTGGTTAACCCTTCTATTTAAGGTGGTTTTATCATATTTAATTAAATAACACATTATATAAGTTTTTTCAGATTTGTGATGATAAATTTTAAAATTATTTAAATATTAATCATATATATAAATATATATATTCAGTATTGAATATATCCATTTAGTAGTCCTTGTGCTGCTGATAAGATGATAAGATGAAATGTGTTATTTCATTTTCTAGTACTTTAAAAATATTAATATAACTATTTATTGAACAATCTTTATTATTGTAACATTTAATATGACGCCTACATTACCTTGTACAAATTGTAAGAATGTAATGTGTGACTTAGAGTGTGATGTTTAACAGCTAATTAATCAGTTTATTTATCAAAAATCCTAGATGTTATAAATACAGTTGTGGGATCCCACAACGTTACACGATGTGCGGTGTGCGCACGATGTGTGCACGGTGTGTGAACGGTGTGTGCACGATGGGCGAACGATAAAAAGCTGGACGATCATTGCTTGCGCACATATGTGCGCACGATGGACGGACGTTGTGCGATAACAATCGTGGTTGGTGTAAATTGAGAAATGCCTTAACAATTTATACGGTTTTGTGTTTAAACATATAAACTTGATGTTTACGTATGTTTCTATATTCTAGCAACATCTATAAACT